TTTGGGTTTGTGTTATGAAAATTAAAATAGAAAACTACATTTTCCCAAGAGACTTTTACTTTTAGTAGGTTTAAACATGCTTCTCATTTACGCCCCAGCGTGAGTGCATCTCAGTCCATGTCGGCCAGGCAGGTGTGCAAATGGGCAATGCATGCTGGGAGCTGTATTGCCTGGAGCATGGGATCCAGCCAGATGGTCAGATGCCAAGTGATAAAACGATTGGCGGGGGCGACGACTCCTTTAACACCTTCTTCAGTGAGACTGGTGCTGGAAAACATGTTCCTAGAGCTGTCTTTGTTGACCTGGAGCCCACTGTCATTGGTAATGAAACTGATTCTCTTTGTATAATTCAATTCTACAGTGAAGAAGTGTCTTAGTTTTTTCCCCCAATTTAGCGTGCATCGAATCAAGAGTAATCTGATGTGAATGTATGGCGCAATTTGATTTTCTAGATGAGGTGCGCACAGGTACCTACCGCCAGCTGTTCCACCCTGAACAACTGATCACTGGTAAAGAAGATGCTGCCAACAACTACGCTCGTGGGCACTACACCATTGGCAAGGAGATCATTGACCTGGTGCTGGATAGGACTCGCAAACTGGTAAGAAAATCTTGGGGTCAAAAGTTGGCTTTATCTTGGGTGTTGAATTAGGGTCTACTTTACTGTAGAACTAAAGTAGAACAATCCTGGCCAGTGATTGTAGAAATAACTCATGTAATCCTGCAGGCTGATCAGTGCACTGGGCTCCAGGGCTTCCTGATCTTCCACAGTTTTGGTGGTGGCACCGGCTCTGGGTTCACCTCCCTCCTAATGGAACGGCTCTCTGTTGACTACGGGAAGAAGTCAAAACTGGAATTTGCCATTTATCCAGCTCCTCAAGTGTCCACTGCGGTGGTGGAGCCCTACAACTCCATCCTCACCACCCACACCACCCTCGAGCACTCCGACTGTGCCTTTATGGTGGACAACGAGGCCATCTACGATATCTGCCGTAGAAACCTCGACATCGAGCGCCCCACCTACACAAACCTCAACAGGTTGATCGGGCAAATCGTTTCCTCCATCACAGCATCCCTGCGTTTCGATGGAGCCCTGAATGTAGATCTGACCGAGTTCCAAACCAACCTGGTGCCGTATCCACGTATCCACTTCCCTCTGGCCACCTACGCCCCAGTGATCTCCGCAGAGAAAGCCTACCATGAGCAGCTCTCCGTTGCAGAAATCACCAATGCTTGCTTCGAGCCAGCCAATCAGATGGTGAAATGCGACCCTCGTCATGGCAAGTACATGGCTTGTTGTCTGCTGTACCGTGGAGATGTGGTTCCCAAAGACGTCAACTCTGCCATCGCCACCATCAAGACCAAGCGTACCATCCAGTTTGTGGACTGGTGTCCCACTGGATTCAAGGTTGGCATCAACTACCAGCCACCAACCGTGGTTCCTGGAGGAGACCTGGCTAAGGTGCAGCGAGCTGTATGTATGCTGAGCAACACCACAGCCATCGCTGAAGCCTGGGCTCGTCTGGATCACAAGTTCGACCTGATGTATGCCAAGAGAGCTTTTGTTCATTGGTATGTGGGTGAAGGAATGGAGGAGGGTGAGTTCTCAGAGGCCAGAGAAGACATGGCTGCCCTGGAGAAGGATTACGAAGAAGTGGGAACAGACAGCATCGGAGAAGAGGGAGAGGAAGAAGGAGAGGAGTATTAAAGGAATCCCTACATAATCTTATCAAGAAACATCACAGATAGCTTTCACAGCAGTATTTTCACTGTAACAAAATATTGTTTTATGTTTCCTATTCTCATTTGAAAGCTGTATTTGATATGTAGAGTATGTGCTTGTTTTCCCTCATATTTTACTGATATTGGTAATTGATATTGGAAGTTGTCAGTCTGTTTTTGTTTGTCTATGTTCAGTGTATAAATATGAGCAAAGCATCCACATGACTCATAAGGCAAACGTCCAAGTGCATGTGACAGACTATAAAGGTTAAGGTGATATATTTTAAAGACTTCATATTGACTTTTTAGTTGTTTGTCTATTTCACTGAGTTGGCTGTCATAAAACTCAGTTCATCAGCAAATAAGATAACCAGTTGCTAACAACAGTTGCTATAGTGACTAAAAGGTTTAAATGTTACCACGCTAACCACAGTGCCAATCAGCTTTTGTTTTCTTGGTTTAAGTGCTTTGGGGTAAGAATAAAAGATTGGGCGGTTCTGTGCCACCTGAAGACGGCTTGTGTAATGCCTTTGTAATTCGACTGCCTGAAGACTAAGAGAATGCAAATGGTGAACACCCTGAAAGGGTGGCATGGAAGCAATCAACAAAAGTTTTTAATTATTTCACAATTTGCATGCCTTTAGATCATGAGTCAGTCAAGTCTGTTTCGGCATGCCTGAGATGCCCTTGCACAGACTTGAAGTTTAAAATCATGTTATACCAAACTGAAATTTGAAACATATCAGTTGTTGAATTAAATGACATAAATGTTACTTTAAGATCATTTCTAGACAACAGTCTTTCAAACAGTCTTTCTAGACTAAGGTTTAACAGTAAATCTTAAGTAGAAACAATTTAAGCTGTAAAAATGACCAACATAAAAACCACTTCATTTGCTACCTTCATTTTTTAAGTATAATCAACTTGTACAAGTGATTTCAACGTAAATTACATTAAACTGATTTAAAAATCAAGTTGGATTTCATATAACGTCCAAAAAAGTTGAAATTGCTCAACTTATTTTGATGAGTTTATGTAAAAACATAATAGCCATGACTTCCTGGTCAATTAGGAAATTGGTAAAAATGGACTTGGACTTTCTGTCTAGGTTTATTTTTTATTTTAATATATTTGAAATATTTGTAGCACTTTATCCTTTTTAAGAAGGTTTTTTCATCAATGTGAGGTGAGATTGCAAATAGTCAAGACAAGGTAAATTCCGCAAACAATGGTCTAATTTACATTGAAGATCATCTATTTGGATGCAAAGCAAGCACTTAACAGCTAATTATACATACAGCTCTTTTTATTTAACTTTTTAAAGCAAATCTGCCCCCACCCTGCTGACGCAGAAGGAATATAGACACTTTTCCTATAAAACCAAATTACTTCTTATGGTCTCTCACATTCAGGACATTCACATTAATTAATAATGTAATTTAAACTTGACCCTTTCATAGCTTCTTTCCTCTCATATGCTGGCACAAATGTACTGCCCTCCTCTTAAAAACACCAACGGCCCTACCAGGCATTCCAGACATTCTCCGCTGAGTCCTTCTCTTAACATTTAGACTTATCTAAGCCACAACATCTTGTGTGGGGAAAGAGTGAGAAAGTGTTATTGCAGTCACTGTGTTTGAAGTGAACGTACAATACTGTCTTCCAGAGAACATCTGATGAGGTTTTCTGCAGAGCAGATCTGGATACAGAACATAAATCTGTCAAAGTGCAAAGTTTATGACAGATAAACGTGAGGTTGCAACATGTTTTCAGACCTAATTAAATATGTTCTGGTCTTCTATAGCAAACACTCTTTTAGTAACTGGGAAGAAATTAAGTTTCAGAAATTATTTGTCCTTTAGGTGTCATTCAAAAATAAAGCCTACTATTTTATGAAAGCAACATCTGGAAATACATTTTATATTAGCCTATTATGTGAAAGCAATAGGTTTTGTGAAAGTTGATGAAACAGTAAATATTTTTGACAATATCTTTGAGCTTGCTGATATAACAAAAAAGCTAAGCTAAGAGAAAAGTATACAGACCAGGGGATTTCAGGCTTCAGTGATCTTGTGTGAGGGACCCTATCCTAAAATTTAAAATTCAGCTATATATATTTGTGTGTGTGTGTGTGTGTGTACAGGTTTATATATTCTGGTGGGGACTTGACTACACACAGACTCATGGGGACTCGTGTCACGGTGGGGACCTAAATTGTGGTCCCCACAGGTACAAAAGCTTATAAATCATACAGAATTACGTTTTTTGAAAATCTAAAAATGCAGAAAGTTTCCTGTGAGGGGTAGGTTTAGGTGTAGGGTTGGTGTACGGCAATAGAATATAGGGTCTGTACAGTATAAAAACCATTACGCCTATGGAGAGTCCCCACAAGGATAGCTGACCAGACTGCGTGTGTGTGTGTGTGTGTGTGTGTGTGTGTACAAAACCCCATTTATACTGCGAAACAATTACATTAAAAGTAATAAAATATTATTTCTAAAGTATTTAGTTTCTATGTTCTTTCAAACTCTAAAAGATGAAACTATTATGTGATTAAACCATTAATCTTATTATTTAACATTACAGATTTAACACTGTTTTTCTCTGAACTTAGCCTATTGCCCAACCCCTTAGCACTCCCCTGAGTTTGAAAACCTCATTTATGATACAACTATATTGTGGTTTAGTCGTTTTTTTTTTAAAAAGGCTTGACATTCACTTCACATTCACATTATATTGAAAAGAACTTTGCCAAATATAGTTAAAAAAAATAAAATCAACTTTTTGTGTTCCACAGATGAATCTGGGACAATATGAGAGTTGAATAATGACCATAGACTGTAGATAATGACACTTTAAATTTTTTTAGTGAACTAAACTGTTCACCATATTACATTAAAACCCTTGTAAATCTGACCTAAACCGAACCTAACATCTGTCTTTGTCTGGTGTGGTGACAAGAGTTTATAGTGGATATTATTAAATATATATATCATAAAAACGGCCTCACTTATTAGTGTCCAATATTTGCATATGGTGTAAATTAGGTTTTTGTTTATTTACATGTTTTATTATTTTTACAGTTTAATTAAATAAATAAAAAACCTCCCTTGACTTACTCGGCTCTGCTGGGCACTTTCCATCCACTCTCAGTCCTTCTCTGATTGGTCGCTTCACACATCAAGCTCCGCCCAAACGTTCCCTCCTCTTCTTCCTCGTGACCGCGCTAACTGCCGCTCCCGCCAGAGTACAGCCAGAGCCCCGCCTCTCCTCTATCCGCCGCGCGCCGTTATATAAACTCAGCCTGGCCCTTTCCGCAGCAATTCTGCCTTCATTCTCCGAGCCTTAACGTCGGTCTGAAGGAAAATCTGACAAAATGGTGAGTCTTAACTTCACGTCTATGTTCCGTAAACAGCACAGTCGGTTATCTTCTGTGTGGAAACCGCTCTTTTACATCCTGAGATGAACGTGTTTAGTACGAAATGACTTCAATGAATTTTGTATAAAATGTAAAGCACCTCTCTGTCTAAAATATTAGGCTGAAGCTATGTTAATTCGCTTAATCTTGGTGTTTAGTGATATTTAACGGTATTTAGGGCTTTGGGCGGTCGCGAGACAAATGCGCGCGCACGTTTTAACGGCAGGGGCTGTGGCAGTCTGGCGCACTGAAGACACGCAGAACAAAGAGAAAGCAGCAGAAGCCAACACTGTTTATTTAGAAAGGGTATAAACGTCCTCATAAGATACATATATTACTTATTCAGAAATGGTGTAAGTGTTATAAATGGTATAGCTTGGGTGTTTGTTAGATGCGCGAGAGGGTGGCGGAGCAGACACGTCAGAATTTCAAAGACGCGGATAAAAGTCTCAGATCAGATATCGCGCCCTTTTCTTCTAACGTTACTCGTTTCTTGTCACTGAATAATACACATAGACTGTATAGGTTGTGCACGATGGGTGGGGGAAGGGCCCAGCCCTGCCCTTCGGGTCTCTTTCCCTACACCGCGGGTCCCTGAAAGCCTTCAAAAGTCTTAAATTCAGATTCGAGGGGTCTTAAATATTTCTGGTCACATTACCGCTCAAATATCTCCAGCCTGACGGACCTAATGGCTGTTTTCAATCACTGGACAGGCCAAAGATTTGATTCTTCCCCCGCGCGGTACGCTAGTTACTGCATCGTCAGACAGAATCGCAGCAGCAGAATACAGGACGAACTAACGTTAACGTTACCTTCTTTGTTTATATTATGTTCTTAATAATAGTAATATAGATCGAGCTACAGCTGACCAGCCTTCTAGCTAACGTTAGTTTAAAATGGTTTTTTTTTTTTTACTTGCCCGACCGGACAAATATTGTTTTTGTTACACAGTTTTATTCTATTTCACTAACGAAAATAGTTCCAATCGAAGTAACGTATCGCACATTCTGCAAGGAACACACCGCGGTGTTTTGTTACTGAATGATTCAGCGGTTTGAATGAATCGGTTGAATTGAGTGAACCGCAACCTTCTGGTGGCTTAGTATGTTTAAACGTATGCATTTCCCCCCAACATTTCTAAGTTGTATATTCATAAATGTATTTAAAACATCAATCTCATAACGTTATTACAGTTGTAAGTTTGCAGTGTAAATGATTTAATCTGACTGGTAGCAGCCCTCTAGTTTAGATTTCATTTGTTGATAAATTGTAATGATGTGTCATGAAAGATGATGCATACATTTAAAAAGGTTAAAAAATGGGCCTTTGTAAAGGTAAATAAAAATATGCAGATTTAAGGATGTACAAGCTGATAGAACACTGATGAAAATATTGCTTCAGAATAAATTGTTTACACCACCAAAAATCTCGGTAATGCAGTACTTTTGTGGGGATATTTTGTATGAATTGTCAGCTGATTTGAAAAGTTAACTGTATATCGTAGTAATAAATTTTGTTTTCCTTTTACATTAAACACATTGAATATTACATATGTGTGTGTGTAATATAATGTGTATTTCCATCACCGGTTTAGGTCTTAAATTTCATATATATCAAGGTGGTATTAAAAACTCTCCCTATCTTTGGGCCTGGTCAGCATTTAAGCCTGCATGCGTTCATGCAGATAAAAACGACTGGAACAGCTGCAGTGTGGCTGGTAGGGAGCTGGTAATGGTTATTGATCAAGCGGCTCCTCTCTCTCTCTCTCTCTCTCTCGAAGCCAACAAGGAAGTGACTTCAACTGTAATTCATCGACTGGCCGCTAGAGGCTGGCTGCAAAAGGGAGTCAATCCCATAGACTCCCCATGTTAAAATGCCCAACTTTACAGCAGAAAAAACATGTTTACAGCCTGGTTCAAAAATAATTATGGTCTATATAGCTAATTTTGCCCTTCATGACAACTGTGAGGGGGTTAAGTTTTTTATTACTCATCCATTTAAATTATATTAAGCCTTGAAAAGTACTGCATAATTAAGGGCGTGGCCACTTGAGTGACAGGTGGATTGCCGCTGCTGTCACCACCGTCGAGCTAGGTGGGCGTGGTTTCAGCAACCTGCTCCCGCCTCTTTGCCCATTTTTGATTATCCGGGAGTAATGTTAGGAATTTGTAATGCTACAGTGAAAACAATGTATACTGTCACATCATTGCATTCAAACAAAGGCACTGTTCAACAGCTTTCCAAATGAAAAGAATAAACATTCTGCACCATTTCCATTATGGACGTAGTGTGTGCATCTAGATATCTGCTGTGGCCGCTTTTTCCATTAGATTAACAGAAATATGTGCAGTGACTTTATTGTATAACAATGCCTATTTATTTGATACATTTGAAGACATATAATTGACATGATCACAAATAATTCTCCCCCCTCCCCTCTCTTTTTACAGCGTGAATGTATTTCCATGCACGTCGGCCAAGCCGGAGCCCAGATGGGCAATGCATGCTGGGAGTTGTATTGCCTGGAGCATGGGATCCAGCCAGATGGTCAGATGCCCAGTGACAAAACCATTGGAGGAGGCGACGACTCCTTCAACACTTTCTTCAGTGAGACTGGTGCTGGAAAACATGTCCCAAGAGCAGTCTTTGTCGATCTGGAGCCCACTGTCATTGGTAATTATTTCTTATAAATTAATTTTATTCCCAGCTGTAAAATGTTGAACTTTAGAGCAACTTTAGGTGTTTTCGTTAGCTTGCAGTTAAAATAAGTTCCTTTTTTTTTCAGATGAGGTGCGCACAGGTACCTACCGCCAGCTGTTCCACCCTGAGCAGTTGATCACTGGTAAGGAAGATGCTGCCAACAACTACGCCCGTGGGCACTACACCATTGGCAAGGAGATCATTGACCTGGTGCTGGACAGGACTCGCAAACTGGTAAGATGCTTTTACTGCCACCGTCTTCTCTATAAACTTGTAGATATTAGTTAGGATGTTCACAGAACATATACGTTCACCCCAAAACATACTATTCACTAGGTAATAAAATATAATTGAATTTAGTTATAATTGTGATAATGTTATTATAATTGATATATTTCCCATCTAAACATTTACTATTTTGTTTGCAGGCTGATCAGTGCACTGGGCTCCAGGGCTTCCTGATCTTCCACAGTTTTGGTGGTGGCACCGGCTCTGGGTTCACCTCCCTCCTAATGGAACGGCTCTCTGTCGACTACGGAAAGAAGTCAAAACTTGAGTTTGCTGTCTATCCAGCTCCTCAAGTGTCAACTGCGGTGGTGGAGCCCTACAACTCCATCCTTACCACCCACACCACCCTCGAGCACTCCGACTGTGCCTTTATGGTGGACAACGAGGCCATCTACGATATCTGCCGTAGAAACCTCGACATCGAGCGCCCCACCTACACAAACCTCAACAGGCTGATCGGGCAGATCGTTTCCTCCATCACTGCATCCCTGCGTTTCGATGGAGCCCTGAATGTAGATCTGACCGAGTTCCAAACCAACTTGGTCCCCTATCCACGTATCCACTTCCCACTGGCCACCTACGCCCCAGTGATCTCCGCAGAGAAAGCCTACCATGAGCAGCTCTCCGTTGCAGAAATCACCAATGCTTGCTTCGAGCCAGCCAATCAGATGGTGAAATGTGACCCTCGTCACGGCAAGTACATGGCTTGTTGTCTGCTGTACCGTGGAGATGTGGTTCCCAAAGACGTCAACTCTGCCATCGCCACCATCAAGACCAAGCGTACCATCCAGTTTGTGGACTGGTGTCCCACTGGATTCAAGGTTGGCATCAACTACCAGCCACCAACCGTGGTTCCTGGAGGAGACCTGGCTAAGGTGCAGCGAGCTGTATGTATGCTGAGCAACACCACAGCCATCGCTGAAGCCTGGGCTCGTCTGGATCACAAGTTCGACCTGATGTACGCCAAGAGAGCTTTTGTTCATTGGTATGTGGGTGAAGGAATGGAGGAGGGTGAGTTCTCAGAGGCCAGAGAAGACATGGCTGCCCTGGAGAAGGATTACGAAGAGGTGGGAACTGACAGCGTTGGAGAAGAGGATGAAGAAGGAGAGGAGTATTAAATTGAGGGCTTGCTGACCCTTGCACAACCAAGCAAGACAACTTATGCCCGACTTAAAAATATGAAAAATGTTCTGTTATAAACCCACATTCCATGAAATAAAAATGTTCCTTTTATTGGGTCAACCTTACTGTGTTGCCATTCTGTTGCCATTGTCTTTTTTTTGTCTCTTAAGTATGTTTGAGTATGACTGAGACACTAAGCCTTGCCAAAACTTCACAGCTAATGTAGCTGACGTGGTATTATTATGATTATTAGTTAGCAACCATGTTATGTCCACATTAGTGTTGGTAAGAGAAAAGGGAAGAAGGGTTTTCACAGATATGCAAACGTAGGGTGTCAGCATTATTTTGATCACTCTCCAGAGTTTTTTTAAATAACACGTGATTGTGAAGGGGTTAAACAACAGGTAAGGGGGAAAAAGGTGAGAACATTGTGCGGATCGGTGGCATGCTCCACAGAATTTATTTTAAAAATATTTGCTTTACATGCTCATTTGTAGTTACTGTAAGGTACTTTTTACAAATATTTTTGTATTATATGTCCAACTAATTTTTCACAAAAAAAATGTAACGTTGCATTTTACAAAAATCAAGATTAAATATATTTTTTCAAAATCCCATGTTATAAAAGATAAAGTTCTATGCAGGCTATTTTAGACAATATTGGCTGATTAGACGGCAATGCCGAACTAAAATGCAAAATGTTTGCCTTCTCTTCACCTTTCCCACATCTCGGACCTCAAATACATGAAATATTACCCTTTTTAGACAGCTTTTGATGTAAAGAATAAAGAAAATGCTACAAAACATTAAAACAACCACGGGCCAGTTGCAAAAACTTGGCCACCATGTTGAGTTGCCAAAGGGGTAATCAGTCTTACTTTTCCGATACAAATAAGACCAATCTACCTTTTCATAACTGAATTAAAAAAGTTATGACCAGTCTTGATAAAAAAAATGAGATGACTAACTTTTTAAGACTAGTCTAAACAGTTTATTCAACCAGCCCCCTTCCTTAAGCAAATCTCATAGGTGACCTATTTTGATGTCAAAAACCTGGTATTTAACCTGGCAAAACTTTCCATCAGTCTTTTAAAAGCCTCCCACAATTATATTTGTCTGCAAAACTAATTTTAAGCATTCAAAACAAATCCTTTAAATCTTCGAGATCATGAGAAAACTACATTTAGTCCAACGTGCAAATGTTTCAGTCATTTTGCTCTATGTTCAATGCCATGGAACCAAACTACGTCTTATTCTCGGTGCAGTCAGGCTAATCTTCTTATCCGGTCTCCTGCTTTGGATATAGTTTACGGATTAAACGATGAATAGGGTTATGTTTTTTACACACACACACACACATTGTGTTTACATGTTTTATGGGGACATTCCATAGGCGTAATGGTTTTTATACTGTACAAACTGTATGTGCTATTGCCCTACCCCTAAACCTACCCCTTACAGGAAACTTTCTGCATTTTTACTTTCTCAAAAAAACTCATTCTGTATGATTTATAAGCTTGTTTCCTCATGGGGACCTCAAAAATGTCCCAATAGGCCTACTTGGTCTGGTAGCACACAGTTGTATGTTGTGTATACAGAGGTGTGTGTGTGTGTGTGTACCTGGTATTTATCACGTTATGGGGACCAAATGTCCCCACAAGGTCAAAATTTACTAGTATTACTATCCTTGTGGGGACATTTGGTCCCCGTAACGTGATAAATACCAGGTACACACACACACACACACCTCTGTATACACAACATACAACTGTGTGCTACCAGACCAAGTAGGCCTATTGTTTATACAGTATGAGAATTATAATTTGGAGAGCTGGCAGACAAATATGACTTTTTGTAAGCCTGTAAGCCTATTTTCTTCCTATGCCTTTTTGACATATGGATAGAATGCAGTCGTGGTTTAAGTGCTCAAGGAGTGTACGATACAAAGTGGGCCTCTCTGCTCGGACTCCAGATTGCTCTCAGCTTATCTGTCACACACAGTCCAGCAAAGAGGCTGAAACAGCCGTCCAGATCCCGAGCGAATAATAAAACAAAACAAAACAAGTGAAAGCACTGGTTATGCTTGTCACATGACTCCAGAAATTTGCTAAACAAGTCATGTGGGCCGATGACAAGCATGTGCGGTTACATGTGAGATTTGAGCACAAGTTTGAATGCAAATGTTACAGCCACAATGCCAGGGAGTTGCTTTGCGATTGTTCTTTGCTTTTTACGGCATATGAACTTTCAGGAGTGTGTAGGATGACTTTATTATTCAAATTTTCAAAAATTATTCAAATGAATATATTAATAATAATAGAATGGTAACACCTCATTTTAAGGTCCAATTCTCTCTATTAGTTGGTTATTAGCATGCATATTACTATCATATTGGCTGTTTATTAGTACTTAATAGGCCTTATTCTCCATGACCATGTTCTAGATCTCTTAATCTGACCCAATACCTAAACTTAACAACCACCATACTATTAATAAGTATACAATTCGGAGTTGATAGTGAATGTGATCCCTCATCTAAAGTGTTACCTCGGTAGGTTTCTTGCTTCTGTTGAGCACAAAAGAAGATATTTTGAAGAATGTCAGTAACCAATAAGTTGACAGTAACCATATATATATATATATATATATATATTTTTTTTTTCTTTCTTTCTCCATACTATGGAAGTCAATGGCTTATCTCAACATCCTTAGAATATCTTCTTTTGTGCTCAACAGCTGAATGAAAGACATTTTTGGAACAACTTGAGGGTGCGTATTTTTGGGTGAACTATTCCTTTATTAACAATATTATAAATAAAATAAATAAACCTAATCTTAAAATATCATCTCAAAATTGTTTGAAAAAATAATAAACTTGATGTCTAAAAGGGTAAAAAAAAAAGAAGCAGCATAAAATGAAAAATAAAATTAATTTATTTAACCCCCTAAATAATTAGTTTTTAATTTCCCAGTTTCTGTTTATAAAAACATTAAAACAAGCAGCTAGCACCTTTGTCTTACTTTATATTGTGGTCCTTAAATAGGTCTAAGCATTATTTTTTACCCATTTAATCATCTGTCACATAACACGATGTATAATTTATGCCTGTACCACAAACAACGCAGTGAATTATAATATTTTGTTCTACATACTTTTTTTTAAACATATATTGGAAATGTTCCCTTTTAGTTTGACCCATTTCACACAAGTTGTTCAGTATTTCCTTTATTTTATAAAAACTTCAGGGCTTTACAAAAACACAGCTTCAGAAATCCCATTAAATCTCACATCACACTTTATAAATACTGTAAATGTGACTGTCTCACAGGGGAAATCTCAGTATGACCTGCTGTCTCACTCAGAGAAGGCAGAGGAAAATCCCTCCTACCAATGGTAAATCCTGCCATTTATGGGCATTTATGCAGTACCCTGTATCTTCCCAATTACAACGCAGTATCATTCATCGTGCTTGCTATTTATTTATACTGGTTAGCCGGTTTATTCAGAACAGCAGCCCTACTGCTAACAGGGTAGCGTAATATTCTGCTCTGGATCAAGTAATGCATGTTTTTTTTGCACTGAAACATACCACACATGGGTGCAACAATCTTTTAAAATATTCAGATCAATCGTAACAGTTTAAACTATTAATTCCTGATTTTGCAAGCTCTGACTCTCGACATTTGATCTTGCTTGGACCAGCTCTGACCCCATCTAACCCCACCCTATCGTACCGTGCTGCCCTCCACTAATCGCTGTCGTCGTCAGACCAGCCAAAGTCGTCCATGGTGATGGCCATGTTCAGTTTGCGTCCCTCACGGACACTGCAGGACTTGGAGGAATTCTTCTTTGCTTGCATGTTCAACTGCATCCCTGATTGGCTGACGAGGTTACCGCCAGGAATGTTCATATCCAGGTCAAAGATGCCCCCGAACCCCAGCATGAGCTTCTGTAGGCTGGCCTGGCCAAGATCCCCATTACTGCAGGTTGATGAAATCTGACAGCTGACCTCCGAGCTTTTGCTCTCCTCCATGTGAGCCTCATAGAAGGACTCGGCGCTGAGAGTGGCTGCCAAGGGGGAAATATGTGAAAACAGCTGCGAAAAGAACATGAAGTCAATTAACAGTTTGTAAGTAGTCATTAGAATTAAAGGTGGAAATGTACTTCAATGGAAACAGCGTTCCTGTTCTTTCTGGCTAACAAATTTCCATAATTTTTCTATGATTTTTACAAATACTTTGGTAACACTTTACATAAGCCTTTAAGTATAATGCATAATAAAGGTATTCATAATTTACAGCGTAATGCATTATATCTTTTCATAAATAATTTTGTAACAAAAGTTCAAATGCATTATAATATTTCAAGGTTTGTTTGTCGTGTTTTAATGCATTATACTTTCTAACGGTGAACAATGAATAGATAAGTATTATAATGTATGTTATTAGTGAGATCATACAATGCATTATAAGGTTCATAACAAGGCATAACTAATGCATTAAAAGTGCACTTAATTGTATTTAATGTGCACTTGTAGCGTACTTCAAATCTTAGAAGTATATTTAAAAAAAACGTACAAAAAACGTTTAGATTCAATAATAATGAAATAAAGGCATTGTAAATGTACTTAAAGGGTTAGTTCACCCAAAACTGAAAATTAGGTTGCATTTTACTCACCCCTGAGGCATCCTAGGTGTATATGACTTTCTTCTTTCAGACGAATCCAGTCGAAGTTATATAAAAAATTGTCTTTGATCTTTCAAGCTGTTTAATGCCACTCAGCGGGTGTTGCATTGCTTCAGTCCAAAAGAACTTAAATAAAAATCGCCCATCCATAAAAAAAAAGTGTCTCACACGGCTCCGGGGGGTGAACAAAGGCCTTCTGTAGCGAATCCATGCGTTTTTGTAAGAAAATAACCATATTCAAAAAGTAATAATCACTTGAATCTATCTTGCGCTCACTGTTGTAAACAGAAGCAGTTCTGGGGGAATGACGTATGAGGTCGGCTTTGCGCATGCGCCGCTCAGAAGTGACGAACGCGGAAACGCAGGGGAGAGATCAAAACAAAACAACAGTCAAGAAATAGAAGTACAAAACGAGGATTTGTAAAGAAGCATGTCAGAGGATTTCGATATAAGCGAAGAGGAGACAAAGTAAGGAAACTTTGCTTCCTTTGCTCCTGTAAACAAACGTTGGTTTTCACGAGACTCATCGGCGCAGCGCTGACCTCATACGTCATGCTCCCGGAACTGCTTCCGTGTACACCTGTTGGCGCAAGCTACATTAAAGTGATTATTACGTTCTGAATATAGATATTTTTCTTACAAAAACGCATCGATTCGCTACAGAAGGCCTTTGTTCACCCCCTGGAGCCGTGTGAGACACTTTTTTTATGGATGGGCGATTTTTATTTAAGTTCTTTTGAACTGAAGCAATGCAACACCCACTGAGTGGCATTAAACAGCTTGAAAGATCAAAGACAATTTTTAATATAACTTCGACTGGATTCGTCTGAAAGAAGAAAGTCATATACACCTAGGATGCCTCAGGGGTGAGTAAAACAGCCTAATTTTCATTTTTGGGTGAACTAACACTTTAAAGAGAGTAAACTTTCATGACTGTTTTTTAACATGTTTGAATACTTAAAAAGTATATAATGTATATAAAGTATGTAGTAATATCAAATCAAAAGTTGCACTTTAAAGAAGTGTGTGTTGATGTGTTGAATAACACTACTATAATAATACTTTAATAAAGTACTTTGCATGCACTGTAAAGTACTGTAGAGTGGTATTCAATATTACATTTAAAGTTAATATATTTTAAATATACTAAACTGCAACTTCATTACAGATATGCAATTACAAATATAAAACAAATATTTGAAAGTATGCTAAAGCATACTTGTTTCTCACAAGGCTATGTTACTGTATTATGCGGATTTTCTCTATGCAGTCTGCCAAAATTTGCACCACACAATCAAGGCACTCTACCACTTATGTTGCACACAATGCAAAGTTTTGTTTTAGCCCAGACTTTGTTGAAGTTTCACTACTCCTTTGTGCAACTTCCTACTTAATCAGACTGCTGCAGGTCACATGAAAACACAACAATGTCAGCATACTACAACTTTAAAAACTGCATTGGTGTGTCATATAAACTCTTGATTAAAACTATAGGCCTCATTCATTAAACATTTGTAAATATATGAATACGAGTAATTGGCGTGTAAAATGGACCTTCCTGAAAACCAGATTCACAAACCTCAGATTCGATAGTTAAACGTGTGTATGTTAATAAGCCCGTCCACTGCAGACAGCAAGAACCTCAATCTCTTAAAGATTACCTAGCTATATTGGCAAACAAACCCGTAAAATATTATTATATTACATATAGCATTATCAAAATGCAGTGTCTAAAAAAATTAAGCGTTTGGATGTTTTACACATCATTTACACATGGTTGGGAGCAGGTGTACATTTTTTTGTGTACCAAATAACATTTTGAAAATATGAACATTTTCTTGAATCCAAAAATGTATGCCAGTCCAATGACTTGACTTGAACAGTTTACACACACACACACACACACGTTTGTTTTTGTGAATTGTGGGGACATTCCATAGGCGTAATGGTTTTTATACTGTACAAACTGTATGTGCTATTGCCCTACACTTAACCCTACACCTAAACCTACCGCTTACAGGAAACTTTGTGCATTTTTACCTTCTCAAAAAAACTCACTGTATGATTTATAAGCATTTTGAAAAATGGGGACATGGGGTAATGTCCTCATAAGTCATCTTTTCCTTGTAATACCTATGTCATACCCATGTCATTATACAAATTTGTGTCCTCATACGTCACAAAAATGCACACACACACACACACACAAGAATCTTTCTGCTTGTGTTTCATTAATGAAGCTCATAGTGTAGGCCTATGTTTTCTTCTTTCTCCTGCTGTATCTCAGCTTAAAATATAGAGACAACTACGAGTAAGCCATTCATAGGTCACGCACAGTTTAGATATAATATATTATAAAGATATTATAAGCAGAAATTATAAACACTGTGACACTATCAAAACATCCAGGCCAGCCCAACACAGCAACTTTAACGCAATCAGAGTTTTGGGTAAGACTGTTTGTCTGTCCAATCTCAGACGAGGCGAATTTGAAAATCCTCATTATTGTTATTATATTACAATTCTGTTTGATACCACAAATGGTGCAAAAACGACACACTCCATAAAGGCGAAGGGCCACTAGTGGCATCAAACCGACTCGTAATATAATACTGTAAGAGTAATAATGAGGATTCTCAAACTCTGCCGTTCTGGATTGCAATATTACGTACTATGTAGCACACAGTATGCAGAAGTGTGGTTGCAAAATGAGTTGTTATTTTGAGCACAGAATGATGAGGACTCACAGGATTGCAGGATCTGGATCTTTCCATAAGTCTGTTTTCCCACTCTGTCAGTCGCCTTTCTCTTTCCGCCAGCTCTTGCTCCTTACAGCTCAACTCCCTCTCCAGCTGCTTCAAGCGTTCCAGCGTCTCCTCTATCTCACACCTTACAGACAGAAGACACAGGAAGTTTGAGCAACACACTAACATCATGTACAAAAAACATGGAAAAATTATTATGGCCAATTCAAAATGCACCTTTGACCTAAAACCCCCCAGCTGTCTGCAATTCCTATCTGTGCCAGCAGGTGGTACTGTATGCTAAACAATACAACCCCCCACACAAAGCCTTTAGTGTGGCTATTTATAAACAGGTATGTGAAGGAAGGCCAGAATGCCCCCCTCCTCAACCCCTCTGCCCTCAAAGCCCCATCAGCCCCTGCCAAAATCTCTCCACACACACTCTCAAAACTTCCCTCCTGCTAGAATTGATTTCTCTACCACTCTCATGAGGAGCGTTTCCAGAATGTCTCACCCTCCCTCTTCCTCCCCCTTCTGCTCCTCGCTCTCTTTTTCCATTCCTCTCAGTTCTTTTCTGACATATCTCTCTTCATGCACTGCAGCTCTGCTGAAGTCGAGCATTCATTGTGTTTGTTTCCTCTATTTGTTTTTGCCCTTACAACTCATCCCTCTATATCCAAACCTAGTCTACTTTTTTACACTATAGTTCCTCAAAACTTGATACTCAAAAAAGTTTAACAGCAAGTTTAAAGAAAGTTAAACGTCACAGAAAATTATTTTGATCATTTCACAATTATGCCAGTAAGTGTATACAGTATGCTGTAATCTCATATGGCTAAAATGTGCAGTAGTCAGACCGCTAATAAAATGTATGCAATTTGCCTCAAATAACAAACATTATTAAGTCAAGTATTAAAAAAGCTTAATATTTCAGTTTTTAAACTCTCCAAAACACCTCATAGGTGTCCATTACATTAACATTCAGGTGTACAATAAGGCACACATATGTTTGGCTAGTTTTTACGATTCAATAGACAAACTGAAATAATTTCTTGTAGGAATTTCCACATTGCTCATGGCTCTTACAGACAGTTACTTCCTGTTTCATATTTGGGTTTTTAACGTATGCTTTATGTGTTTTTAATTCTTGTAAGTTGTGTCAAACTGGCTATTGATTAATTGTTTGCAAATTTTACACTTTTTATAATTACATTATGTGTCCATATGAATCACGCTTGTCATTTGCAAAAATTTAAACAAAACTTTTTTTTTTTTGAAGAAGAAGAAGAAGAAGAAGAACATGCTTATAACCTTATTTTTTAATTTAGCACTTCAAAACTACAAAAACAAAGTTGCCAGCAAGTTCTGGACAGTACGTACCTCCACTCTGCTTTGTTATGCAAGAAGGAATTGCACTGGCCCGGCAGTCTGCTGTCGTTTTTCATGGTCTCTAGGGTGCTCAGGACCTGTTTGAACTGTGGCCTTTCCTGGAGATGAAAGAGCGTGTTTATTACGGTCATCCTTCAGCACAATGTAATACACCAACTAAATCAAAGTTTGAGTTCAAGCGTTCATTAAAATGATAAAAACCTCATCCACTCTCCTTTTTTTGGTCACTTAGCTCTTAAAATGTTAGGTCATAAACCTTCGAAATTTGAGGTCACACTGAGGTCAGCAAGAATACATGGCATAATTTGCACACAATTTTTTCACATTGAATTTGATTATGAATCACCTTTCTCTGAAAAACAAAACAAAAGACTAATTCTCCACTTGCGGAACAATTTATTTTCAGGCTCAGTGTGAAGATGTTCCTCTTTGAATAAAAGCATCTGCTGAATGACTAAATGTAAACCGTTTATAGGATTCCAGTGAGCCTGATCATCAAATGAGCTGAATTTTGGCTCTATCCCACCACATACCTTGGGCTCTGCAATCCAGCAGCATCTCATCAGGTCTGCAAAGCTAGCGGGGCAGCTGCTGGGAATGGTCGGCCTCTGGAACACATAACCCGCACAAAAACCACAGACACATGCACACACATTAGAATCCATTTCAAAAACCCACTATAGCAGACATTACATAAAATTCTAATTTTAGTACGAGTCCGGTTTTAGCTCACAAAAGCAACTGCTGCAAAGCGTTCCTCTGGGCTAAGTTTACATCACAACTCAAATGGAGCGTATATCTCCATTTTCAAAGAGTCTGATATATAATAACCAGTATATGAGGATTAACAAAGAGCTTTTACAAGGCCGCTGTTTACACTGCTAAGTGATAAAACTGAGTTCGCACTCAAGATAATGGAACTTTAAGAGCATGTGAGGAGAGATGCTGTAATGGAGACTTGTCGAATCCCATTTGATAAGCCACACATGTAGGAATCTAATACTGTCCAAGTGGCTCGTCCAATAGCAATAGCTGCACAGTATTAGATCTGACAAACAGCGCTGGCACACCAAATAATCATGAGCCCACGAGAGAATGGAAACTACTCCTTCCCACTGGGAATTTAACATAAACCAAAATATCTTTTCATCCATCTTTTGACCTCTCCCACTCCACCTCGCCAACATTTTCTCTTATAAGTACTTGCTCCCTTTTCTCTGTCTCAGACTGGGATGTTTATCTTAAAAGGTTTCCTGAATACCCCCTACAGCACTAAAACCACTGTGGTCTCATCCGATCTTCACCTGATGGCTTCTCTGCAAACATAAAGAGGAACACAATATATCTGAACTCTCTGCAATGTATGCTAGAGCTCAATAAAAGTTGCAGGGGTTCTTGTTCACATACAGAGCGAAGCCTCTGGATCAGCCCGCTATAAATAACCAACTAAAGCAAGCAATGGAATCTATGATTGTACTGTTCTGTTACCCACAGGAAGAACAAGAAACATAAAAGTTCCAAATCATTATCATTAGGTGTGGATCAATGTGAAGCCTGTTCCAAAAGTTCCTCAGCATTATTACTTTTAATTCTAAAATTCCTTTTTTAGGTCAAATTCTTAGGAAGCACTGCATATGTATAATTTTAATATTTTCATCGGATTGGAAGAAGTGGTGTAGATCTGAAATGATCTGATCAATAGGATAAAAATAAGCATGTAAAAGCTTGAAATTGACTATTTTCTCAATCAGACTCGAGAATACCTTGCACACATGTGCAGTCCCATGATGCATATGAATACATATGTGACCCTGGACCACAAAACCAGTCTTAAGTCGCTGTGGTATATTTGTAGCAATAGCCAAAAATAATTTTTTTTATGGGTCAAAATTATTGATTTTTCTTTTATGCCAAAAATCATTAGGATATTAAGTAAAGATCATGTTCCATGAAGATATTTTGTAAATTTCCTACCGTAAATATATTCAAACTTAATTTTTGATTGGTAATATGCATTGCTACGAACTTCATTTGGACAACTTTAAAGACGATTTTCTCAATATTTAGATTTTTTTGCACCCTCAGATTCCAGATTTTCAAATAGTTGCATCTCGACCAAATATTGTCCAATCCTAACAAATCTTTTCCATACATCAATGGAAAGCTTATTTATTCAGCTTTCAGATGATGCATAAATCTCAATTTCGAAATGTGCGTATGTTTGTTTACATCTTACATATTTCTTTACATCTTTGACATACATGTCAGCTTTCTTTACAGAGGTGTCATTAAAATGAGCAGCTCTCCTGTTCTGAACATGGCAACTGGGCGTAACGCATGCGTTTTATTCAGAATACATGTAATGCACATGTAAACAAATATGTAAATTGGACTGCAAAGTTTTGGGTTCACATAAACAAGACTTTCAGAATATGAAATTGATTTGGATTCAGTCAAACTGAAGAAAATGAGTGCATGTAAACATAGCTATATAGAGAATTAGTGATTCTAAACGTACTATAAATTTCATTCAGTAATTAAAAGTATTGGTTCAAATAGTTCAGTCTTGACAGTAAACAAACTCTAGTGAAATCCATTGTTTGCAAAACTATTTGCTGCCTATGTATGTCACTTAGGATCACAGACCGGATGGGTGGATCTAAGAGTACCACACTCTTATTTGTAACTGAAAGCATGATACAATTCACCATAATGTGATAAATGAGAATGCGAATGAGTTCTGTGGGCACAGTTTCCATGCGGGAAACTGAGGTTAAAACAGAGGTTCCAATAAAGTGAGGATGCAGCTGTCTATGTCGGAAAGACGTTCACTAAGTTTTGGAACAAAGCCAGGAAAAGAGTTAGCCAAAGCTACTACAACTACTGACAATGTATCACAGACATATTCATAGCAAAACTGACTTTAAAACTTAAAACAGTAATGCAACTATACTAACATTACATTCATGTGGTGGTTGCACAGAAATAACATTCCTCTCTAAAGAACACTAAGGGATTGTGGGATACTGTGTAGTACCTCATGTTTTTCCACCACCAACCAGGCCACCTGCAAACCCTCAAAACCTTTAAATGGAACTTCTCTGGTCAGCATCTCCCACAATACCTGCAAGACAAACCACAAATCAAACAATAAATGTACAGATGTCCTGGCATTGCTCTCTACAACAAAACTGGCATATTCCACAAACAAAAACATATATGGGTTGAAGAACACGGAATGCAGTTTATGCAGACTGTGCCTGAAATAACAATTGATTCAGACAGTCAAGCATGCATACACAACAGCCATATGTGTGTATATACTGTACATCTATCTATCTATCAACCCTAAAATACAAGCCTCACATTTGTTTTTTTTTGTTTTTGTTTTTTAAACAGAATACGATAGAAGATATTTAGCAATTGCACAGAAATAACATTCCTCTCTAAAGAACACTAAGGGATTGTGGGATACTGTGTAGTACCTCATGTTTTTCCACCACCAACCAGGCCACCTGCAAACCCTCAAAACCTTTAAATGGAACTTCTCTGGTCAGCATCTCCCACAATACCTGCAAGACAAACCACAAATCAAACAATAAATGTACAGATGTCCTGGCATTGCTCTCTACAACAAAACTGGCATATTCCACAAACAAAAACATATATGGGTTGAAGAACACGGAATGCAGTTTATGCAGACTGTGCCTGAAATAACAATTGATTCAGACAGTCAAGCATGCATACACAACAGCCATATGTGTGTATATACTGTACATCTATCTATCTATCTATCTATCTATCTATCTATCTATCTATATATCTATCAACCCTAAAATACAAGCCTCACATTTGTTTTTTTTTGTTTTTGTTTTTTAAACAGAATACGATAGAAGATATTTAGCATAATGTCCTGGCTGCTCTTTTCCATAAAATGAAAATGAAACCATAATACATTCTTTTCAGTATTACTTGATGAACTGAAAAATCATTTTTGTAACAATGTGAAAGTCTGCTTGGGTGTCACTGTTGATTAATTATAATGTATCCTTGCTGAATAAAAGTATAAAAGTAGGGTGCGTAAAAAAATTCTTCAAAAGTCCCTTTGTGTTACATGAAAAAAGAAAGAATGTGAATCTTACTGAATTTAAATTCTTAAACTATCCCATTTTATGAACCTTTTTTTTAAATTACAGGGACACAGAGATAAAAAAATGTGATCACAGCACATTCATTCTACAAATATAAGTACTCACCACGCCATAGGAGTAGGTGTCACATGTTTCTGAGACGGGAAGACTCTGGATCACTTCAGGGGCCATCCAAGGGAAGGTGCCCACCAGAGACATGTGCGTTGTGTGAGAAACCAACTTAGATGCTCCAAAATCACAGATCTGACCCCGAAAAAATGCATTATGTCAACTGAGTTTAAATCCTAAGATTTTATTATGAATATTTGGATGTGAATAAAAAACAGGAAACATACCTTTAATACATTGTCTGCAGTTAACACAACTAATGGAGAGAAAAGAAAACAGTTATTTGTGTATAATCTTCATGTTTGCATTTTTTGCATGTGAAATTGCTCACAGCACAGCTAAGAACTCACCATTTCTTGACTTTAGGTCTCTATGAATGACTTTCACAGCTCACAAAAGCAACTGCTGCAAAGCGTTCCTCTGGGCTAAGTTTACATCACAACTCAAATGGAGCGTATATCTCCATTTTCAAAGAGTCTGATATATAATAACCAGTATATGAGGATTAACAAAGAGCTTTTACAAGGCCGCTGTTTACACTGCTAAGTGATAAAACTGAGTTCGCACTCAAGATAATGGAACTTTAAGAGCATGTGAGGAGAGATGCTGTAATGGAGACTTGTCGAATCCCATTTGATAAGCCACACATGTAGGAATCTAATACTGTCCAAGTGGCTCGTCCAATAGCAATAGCTGCACAGTATTAGATCTGACAAACAGCGCTGGCACACCAAATAATCATGAGCCCACGAGAGAATGGAAACTACTCCTTCCCACTGGGAATTTAACATAAACCAAAATATCTTTTCATCCATCTTTTGACCTCTCCCACTCCACCTCGCCAACATTTTCTCTTATAAGTACTTGCTCCCTTTTCTCTGTCTCAGACTGGGATGTTTATCTTAAAAGGTTTCCTGAATACCCCCTACAGCACTAAAACCACTGTGGTCTCATCCGATCTTCACCTGATGGCTTCTCTGCAAACATAAAGAGGAACACAATATATCTGAACTCTCTGCAATGTATGCTAGAGCTCAATAAAAGTTGCAGGGGTTCTTGTTCACATACAGAGCGAAGCCTCTGGATCAGCCCGCTATAAATAACCAACTAAAGCAAGCAATGGAATCTATGATTGTACTGTTCTGTTACCCACAGGAAGAACAAGAAACATAAAAGTTCCAAATCATTATCATTAGGTGTGGATCAATGTGAAGCCTGTTCCAAAAGTTCCTCAGCATTATTACTTTTAATTCTAAAATTCCTTTTTTAGGTCAAATTCTTAGGAAGCACTGCATATGTATAATTTTAATATTTTCATCGGATTGGAAGAAGTGGTGTAGATCTGAAATGATCTGATCAATAGGATAAAAATAAGCATGTAAAAGCTTGAAATTGACTATTTTCTCAATCAGACTCGAGAATACCTTGCACACATGTGCAGTCCCATGATGCATATGAATACATATGTGACCCTGGACCACAAAACCAGTCTTAAGTCGCTGTGGTATATTTGTAGCAATAGCCAAAAATAATTTTTTTTATGGGTCAAAATTATTGATTTTTCTTTTATGCCAAAAATCATTAGGATATTAAGTAAAGATCATGTTCCATGAAGATATTTTGTAAATTTCCTACCGTAAATATATTCAAACTTAATTTTTGATTGGTAATATGCATTGCTACGAACTTCATTTGGACAACTTTAAAGACGATTTTCTCAATATTTAGATTTTTTTGCACCCTCAGATTCCAGATTTTCAAATAGTTGCATCTCGACCAAATATTGTCCAATCCTAACAAATCTTTTCCATACATCAATGGAAAGCTTATTTATTCAGCTTTCAGATGATGCATAAATCTCAATTTCGAAATGTGCGTATGTTTGTTTACATCTTACATATTTCTTTACATCTTTGACATACATGTCAGCTTTCTTTACAGAGGTGTCATTAAAATGAGCAGCTCTCCTGTTCTGAACATGGCAACTGGGCGTAACGCATGCGTTTTATTCAGAATACATGTAATGCACATGTAAACAAATATGTAAATTGGACTGCAAAGTTTTGGGTTCACATAAACAAGACTTTCAGAATATGAAATTGATTTGGATTCAGTCAAACTGAAGAAAATGAGTGCATGTAAACATAGCTATATAGAGAATTAGTGATTCTAAACGTACTATAAATTTCATTCAGTAATTAAAAGTATTGGTTCAAATAGTTCAGTCTTGACAGTAAACAAACTCTAGTGAAATCCATTGTTTGCAAAACTATTTGCTGCCTATGTATGTCACTTAGGATCACAGACCGGATGGGTGGATCTAAGAGTACCACACTCTTATTTGTAACTGAAAGCATGATACAATTCACCATAATGTGATAAATGAGAATGCGAATGAGTTCTGTGGGCACAGTTTCCATGCGGGAAACTGAGGTTAAAACAGAGGTTCCAATAAAGTGAGGATGCAGCTGTCTATGTCGGAAAGACGTTCACTAAGTTTTGGAACAAAGCCAGGAAAAGAGTTAGCCAAAGCTACTACAACTACTGACAATGTATCACAGACATATTCATAGCAAAACTGACTTTAAAACTTAAAACAGTAATGCAACTATACTAACATTACATTCATGTGGTGGTTGCACAGAAATAACATTCCTCTCTAAAGAACACTAAGGGATTGTGGGATACTGTGTAGTACCTCATGTTTTTCCACCACCAACCAGGCCACCTGCAAACCCTCAAAACCTTTAAATGGAACTTCTCTGGTCAGCATCTCCCACAATACCTGCAAGACAAACCACAAATCAAACAATAAATGTACAGATGTCCTGGCATTGCTCTCTACAACAAAACTGGCATATTCCACAAACAAAAACATATATGGGTTGAAGAACACGGAATGCAGTTTTTGCAGACTGTGCCTGAAATAACAATTGATTCAGACAGTCAAGCATGCATACACAACAGCCATATGTGTGTATATACTGTACATCTATCTATCTATCTATCTATCTATCTATCTATCTATCTATATATCTATCAACCCTAAAATACAAGCCTCACATTTGTTTTTTTTTGTTTTTGTTTTTTAAACAGAATACGATAGAAGATATTTAGCAAAATGTCCTGGCTGCTCTTTTCCATAAAATGAAAATGAAACCATAATACATTCTTTTCAGTATTACTTGATGAACTGAAAAATCATTTTTGTAACAATGTGAAAGTCTGCTTGGGTGTCACTGTTGATTAATTATAATGTATCCTTGCTGAATAAAAGTATAAAAGTAGGGTGCGTAAAAAAATTCTTCAAAAGTCCCTTTGTGTTACATGAAAAAAGAAAATGTGAATCTTACTGAATTTAAATTCTTAAACTATCCCATTTTATGAACCTTTTTTTTAAATTACAGGGACACAGAGATAAAAAAAATGTGATCACAGCACATTCATACTACAAATATAAGTACTCACCACGCCATATAGGAGTCAGAGGATGACCGTTAGATTTACTGAATACCCAGCTGACAAAGTCACTGAAAGACATGCTCTCGAGAAATGATTAGGCCACATAAATCTGCTCATAAGCGCATTCAAATCCCTGGAGACAAAGATCACAATAGGATGTTTAACAAAATGGCCAGACAACTGTGCAAGCGTGTAAGTGTGCGTCTGTCCTGTTGATGAACTATCCTCACACTCTGATTACCCACAAAGCTTTTTACAGTCACAACAACCTGGCAAGAGGGGTACAAGAGGGCCATAGCTTAGGAATAAAATAATCACAAAGAAGATCTCTATAATATCTTAGCGATTTCTCGTAAACACCAATGAGATACAGTGGTGTGAAAAAGTGGTCCTGTTTTTATAATTGTTTGCATATTTGTCACACTTAAAAGATTCAGATCATCAAACTAATTTTAATATTACACAAAGATAACCTGAGTAAATACAAACTGCAGTTTTGAAATTATGATTTCATTTATTAATTGAAAAAAGCTGTCCAAACCTGCCTGGGACTACGTGAAAAAGTAATTGCCCCCTAAATCTAATAACTGGTTGTGCCACCCTTTGCAGCAACAACTGCAATCAAGCGTTTGTGATAAATGGCAATGAGCCTTTCAGAGGAATTTTGGCCCACTCTTCTTTGCAGAATTGTTTTCATTCAGCCACATTGGAGGGTTTTCGAGCATGAATGGAATGTTTAAGCATCTCAATCGGATTTAAGTCTGGACTTTTACTTGGCCACTCCAAAACCTTAATTTAGTTTTTCTTGAGCCATTCAAAGGTGGATTTGCTGGTGTGTTTTGGATCATTGTCCTGCTGCATAAACCAAGCGAGCTTGAGCTTGAGGTCACAAACTGATGGCCGGACATTCTCCTTCAGGATTTTCTGATAGAGAGCAGAATTCATGGTTCCATCAGTTATGGCAAGTCATCCAGGTCCTGAAGCTGCAACCATGTTTGACTGTTGGTATGATGTTCTTTTTATGAAATGCTGTGTTGGTTTTACGCCAGATGTAATGGGACACACACCTTCCAAAAAGTTTAACTTTTGTCTCATCAGTCCACAGAATATTTGCCCAAAAGTCTTGGGGATAATCAAGATATTTTTGGCAAATGAGAGACGAGCCTTTGTGTTCTTTTTGGTCAGCAGTGGCTTTTGCCTGGGAACTCTCCCATGGATGACGATTTTGCCCAGTCTCTTTCTTATTGTTGAATCATGAACACTGACCTTAATTGAGGCAAGTGAGGCCTGCAGTTCTTTAGATGTTGCTCTGGGTTCTTTTATGACCTCTTGGATGAGTCGTCGTTGTGCTCTTGGGAGTAATTTTGGTAGGCTGGCCACTCCTGGGAAGGTTCACCATTGTTCCAAGCTTTCTCCATTTGTGGATAATGGCTCTAACCGTGGTTTGCTGGAGTCCCAAAGCCTTAGAAATGGCCCTTTCCAGACTGATACATGTCATCTTATTTATATTTTAATATTTTGTTTCTCATCTGTTCCTGAATTTCTTTAAATCGCGGCATGATGTGTTGCTCTTTAAGCATGCTTCACTTTGTCAGACAGGTTCTATTTAAGTGATTTCTTGATTCAACAGGTCTGGCAGTAATCAGGCCTGCGTGTGGCTAGTGAAATTTAACTGAGCTTTCTAAAATAATGTGGTTAATCACAGTTCTTTCATGATTTAAGAGGAGGGGCAAATAATTTTTCACGTAGGGCCAGGTAGGTTTGGACAGCTTTTTTCCCTTAATAAATGAAATTATCATTTAAAAACTGGATTTTGTATTTACTTGCATTATCTTTGCGTAATATTAAAATTGGTTTGATGATCTGAATCTTTTAAGTGTGACAAATATGCAAAAAATAAAAAAAAAACAGGAAGGGGGCAAAAACCTTTTCACGGCACTGTACATATTTTCCATTTCAAAATGATTTAAAATTCAAAATCATTTCGAAATTTGATCTGTTAATTGCAGATCAAATAACAGATCAAATTTCAGAAGTTCAATACACAGCTTTTTATTAAAACTACAGGGTTGTTTGATACACTTTCACTGCATGGCTGCAAACATTTGACATTTTATTATTTCATATTGTAAGTTTTTAAAATTACATTTATTTAGAAAATATTGCAATAACTATTAGATATTATTAGGGCTGTCGCGATTCGTCGATTTTATTCGACTATTCGATTTTTTTTAAATCCTCGACTTCATTTTGGTCGCGTCGACTAACCGGCAAAAATTCCGGAAGTGGCGCATTTCACGGTTGAGAATCCATAAAACACATTAGACTGTTTCCCAAACGCTACGATTTAATTAAATAATTATATGCGATGCAGTTCTAATACAGTATATGCGCTTTAATTATTTACATGCGTGTAGGTTTAGTACATGCGTCACACAGCGGCTCCCTTCACAGTAGTTACACAGGAACTGTTATCATTTACATGTGTGGAGCGTCTCAAACTCCATATCTGCATGTTGTTGTGAGTTTGGGTTTATTGTAACGTTAATCTGGGAACGCAACATGCGCCATTTCATAAGATTTGTAAGGTAAATCATTACTAAATCTACGCAAACTCTGTAGAATACATCCCAGTTTCAAAATAAAAGCTCAAACCCTCACTCTGAGTTTACACGTTTTGATGTCAACATATTCTTTTAATTACAGTGGCTATAGCATTTCTGTCCTAAAGAAATGGCCAAATATTAAAGATTAAGTGGACATTTGAATGAAATGGTGTTTGGTAAATATTAAACAAGGATTAGATCGCGCAGTAATGTGTAAAAATAATCATCAGGCCGTTGGCGTCCTCTGCAGGCCTTTGTTGTAATGTGTAATGTCCATTAGCTCTATTGTTTATAATACATTATGTACTTAAACAGTTTTGTTCAATAAAACCATACGATTTCTTGCTTTTGATACTTTATTTGAACTAATTATTATTGCCTCATTGCTATTAGGCTATATATGAATTTTAAGTCATTTTAAAGGCTATTGTTCACTTACATCTATTTTTATTACCACAAAAAATAATTATAATTATAGGAAGCATCTCCAATTAATTGATTTTATTTATTTATTTTGTTAAGTTTTTTCTTTTTTTTTCAGAAATACTGCACATTTACATTTTTCTCCTAAATAAATTCTGGTAAATAACATTTCTGGTAAATACTCCTTTAAAAAGTGTTTTTTGATTATAATTTTAATATTAGTAGACTATAACACGTGGATAAGTTGTCATTCTTACACTATTATACTGAACTTTGATTTCAGTGATTTGGACTATGAGATGGACACTTGCTTCTTGCACTCTATGTTGCACTTTACTTTTGCTTTAAAAAAAGGATTTAATAGAAATTTGGATTTCATTTGGTTTAATAAAATATAGTTTAATAAAATATTCTTAAGTGAAATTGTTGTTTTTTTTTGGTGGGAAATTAATCGTTAAGATTAATCGATTAATCGACAAATTAATCAATAGATTAATCGAAATAAAAATTAGTGGCAGCCCTAGATATTATAATATATGTATGCAATATATATAATATATTGTAATATATAGTGTTGGCTATACTATAAATTTACTGATGAAATCATTTAGTAAGTTATAACATGGGCTTACATGATTAAAAGAAACCTAATGCACTTTATAATTTGCAGTTTTTCTTTTTTTGCATAATGAAAATATGTGCCTTGAGTTCATTCAATCATAGAAATTCTTAATTTTATATATTTTAGAAAACAGAACAGGGACAATTAATTCCAAATAGCAAATTTAAAAAAAAATTCTTACAAGAATTGCGCGATAAAAACTCAAAATTCAGACTTTTTTTCTTTATATCTCACAGTTTTGACTTTTTTTCTCTGAATTCTGAGCGTACTTCTCGGACATTCTGTTTTTGTTTCTGCAATGAAATATGTGAGTTTATATCACAATTCAGACAATCTCGCAATTTTTTCTCAGAGTTCCAAAATTCCAAATTGTGAGCTATAAGCTTAGAATTGCGAGAAAAACAGTACAATGAGATAAAAATGTGGGCTTCCATAGACAATAGTCTGGAAAACAAATATTACAAATATTACCCTATAGTAAATATTACTCTGTTTTCATTTTTATCCAGACCTGGGAATGACTAAAATCAAATTCCATACTATGTAGGAACCTTGGTTTTAGAGATCTGAGCGATGACCGAGAGACATACCTAGTAACTTTTTTTTAATCTTATGAGCATTTAAAGAGAAACCTCTGACCAATAAAACACTCAACTGGTTATGAAACAAAAAGAGAGCACATCTTATTATTACCTGTGACAATGCCATAGTTGGGCGCTTCCAGAATGGCTCCATAGAACTGAATAATATTTTTGTGGCTCAGGACACTCAGAATCTCAGCCTGGATGAGATGAAGGGGGGACAAAACAAACAGATGCAGAGGTGAAAGTCACAGACTGCGGTCAAACACTCAGGCTCAAATGAGTGCTGCATCAATGTCATAAAACTATTTTTTCATTACAGTATGTCGAGGTCAAATATTACGCTAGAAATGTGCGTGAACACGGAGCCATTAGCAGTATTGTGGGACATGTCCGCTGGGACTCAAACTGAATGGCTTCAGCCAGGAAAGCTGCTAAACTCGGGTAAACAGTGGAACAGACTCTGTCAGTGCTGCTGAGCCTGCATTAATACTGACAGCAACACACACCGCCTGCAAACCCACATTAAGATGCTACATTTTACACTTACAGTATATCAAATTTGCTTTAGACAAAGAGAAATAGAGAAAGGCGGGGGGAGAGATGAAGGGAAAAAGAGATCATGGTCATGGAAAACTGTACATCCTAACACTCCCCCTCTCTCATGACAATAAACAAGTCTGATGGATGGATGGAATACAGGAAATGATGTAACGGTGGCTATGTACACACATACTGTGTCCAGCTTTCGCAACATTTAGATTATGTACTGAATTTGATTAATAACTTACCAATATCTCAAAGGATGCAGTATGTCATCTCAGTATTGTTTGACTGCATGCACAGTGAATACTGGGACATCTACTGCTTTTTTCTTATTCTTTTGCATAGAACGCATATTTAGACTTTTAAAGGAGTCATATGATGCGATTTCAAGTTTTCCTTTCTCTTTGGAGTGTTACAAGCTGATTGTGTATAGACAAGATCCCTGAAGTTGCAAAGACTAAAGTCTCAAAACCAAAGAGATATTCTTTATCAAAGTTAAGACTCTGCCACGCCCCCGTAAAACGGCTCGTTCTAACACGCCCCCACATATCTACCTCACTATGTGGGAATATTAGCATAATGCCGCCCAAATGTGCACGCAAAGAAAGAAGGCGTGGTTTCAGTAACTGCAGTTAGTGTTGATGCAGGGAGACGCAGTGTGATTCAGTGCAAAAGCAAAAGCACTTTATTTTGCCTTCCAGAAGTAGATGCATTTAGGAATCTTTAACCCTCTTAGCACCAAAGTCGCAAAATTACGACAAGACGTCATACTTAATCAAATAGACTGTAGTTCCTAATATGGTGTAATATCTCATTTTGTATTCCCTACCACTAGATGGCAGACATGTAGTACTTCGATTCTAGACCAAAATTACGTCACCTACCTATTCAAAGTGTTGGAGGAAAGAGCAGAGCAAGTGAGCTATCTGTCATTGATGCAGAAGCAGTTCAGTTCATAGCGTGTGGGTAAGCTGTGAGATTTGTGAGAGAAAATCACCAAATGGCTAATAAAAAGTTGTACCGTGAGGATGTGTTGCAAATGTTATTCGCCTATTCTGACTCTGAAGGGGAATATTTGCCTTTTGGAAATGACGATCGGTCGTCTAATGATCGCGCTTCTCCCGGTAACGTTACATCTTTGACGTGCAATGGTGCCGCCGTGTAAGGCGAGAGTGTTCACGAAGCACAAACAAGTGATTATTTTGACCCTTTGCCCAACGGGGATGGGAGTGGCAGGGCAATATCTATTATTTCCTGAATATTACTGATGAACTGATCAAAAAGTAGGCTACTGTTCACATGTGTTTTACTATTATATAGTATAGTAATATAGTAATAATTTAGTACTTTCTCCGGTTTTATTGTTGGTTTCCTCTTTTCTGATCATTTGGAATGAGGATAAAAAGA